ACCAAACGTCTTTAAGTAGGAGACGAATCCCTCTGCTGGAAAAACCACGCAGATGAACAAACAGAAATAGTTGGTTGCTGCTGTTTGTAGGAAATTGGGAAAGAACCTAATAATTGACTTTATGGAAGGTTAAACTTAGCCTCACAAACAACTAACTCTGTATGATGTACAAGGACACTTCCTACTCTTAGAGAAGTGCAGGTGTTTGCCAAGTCTCTCATCAGAGTCTTTCCACTGATGGTTTGTGTACAGATTAGGGGCCACTCAAAAATTTTCAATATTTTTTAAATTTCGATTTTTTTTTCACATTTTTTTGATCCACCCACCCCCAATTTCGATTAAAAAAATTGAATTTTCATCCAGTACATGTTCATTAAACATGCATTTGATATAAATTCAAATACATGTAAAAATCTACAACGCAACACACTATGACAAGATGATGGCTGGAATTGCAATAAATGATCGTGATTGATCACGCACGCAACAGCATGTCAAGTCCAATCTGCTCAAAAATGGAACTCCCGAGGTACGGCTACGCCTACAGTCAATTACCGTGTCTCCACGCACATGCATATGTATTTCTATTGAAACGGAGATGCAGACCTAGCTCTAGCCAACAGCTTTGGATGCAGTTTGCTGCTTTCCGGTTAGTCTTAGATTCAAGGTGATGAACATTTCACCGTTATTAGCAACTGGTGTTCAACGTTCACTGTGTATACCAGTAGGTTTATATAATACGTCTGGTACTCTGCTACATTTGTGGTTGATCACCGCTGCAAGTGCCCAGCTTCCAAGTCTAACAGTAAAAACCACCTCCTTCCATGATGTTTTACACTTGCATTATAATGTACTGGAAAGGTCAACCTGTGTGTATATGGAAATGAAGTTGAAAAAAATTTCATTTTTGGAATGCTGGTGTGGTGGACCTATATATGCCTGGCGTGCACGCTACACGTATTGCATGCAATTCAGGAAAATATTTTTTTCTGGATTTTAATATAAAAAGTAAATTTCCTTTTTTCATTTATTTCCTTGACCCACCCACTATTAAAAAAAATCAAAAATTAAAAAACACTGAAAATTTTGAGTGGCCCCTTAGGAAGACCAGTTTCCATTGCAGAAAATTCACCTGGAAAAGCATTCATCCTTGCTCAATTGTAATTCTCTCGTTTGTTTTTTACTGCCTGGTCTTGTCACAGGAGGAGTACTATCACCTCTTGGCTGAGAAGATCTACAAGATCCAGAAGGAGATCCAGAAGGAGCTGTAGGAGAAGCAACAGAAGAGGATGCAGGATTCAGGAGGTATTGATGCTGCCGCTGGAGGCATTCCCATGACGGCAGCAGCGCTGCTGCCTCAGCCTCCCCACTAACTGCCCAGATCAGTATGTCCACTGGGAAAATGTAGCTCTTTCAACCAACTTATATCAGAACTATGCTGTACAAAACTATATGGTCTTGAAGGGTTATTTTGGTGTCAGTGTTGCTTTGGCTCAGCAATGGAAAGTGGACTGGTAGAATGGGGCGTCAGGTTGGTTGTACGATGTAAACAACAAATAAAAGTGTAATGCAAATGTGAATTTTAGGTTTTGAAACACATTCCATATCTCAGTATGTGGAATGAAGATGTCGATTGTACCCATAGTCAGTAAATGTAACTAACTCAAGCTTTAAATTGTATATCTAATATGAGCTTCACTCATTAGGTGCTTCTGGAAAATTTGTATCTCTTTTTTTCCGCACACGGCTGTTCTTGCTTATTGTCTTGATCAGGACTTGAACAAAGCTTTTGCCACAAATAAATTAGATTGCTAATTTGATAGACAAACTAACAGATATTTACATGTATGTACATAGGGTCTGCTGCTTGCCAAAGAGAAAACAAATGAAATGGGAAGGGGGAGGTTCTACAGCAACTCTTAAACTTGAAGGTCTCTTTTCCTTGAAAGTCTGTGTTTAAACAAGATGTTCTTTTTTTTCTAAATCCACTTTGGATGTAACCATGATCTGTCTATCTATATACACAGGTAGGCCTACATGCTAATGGTTTCAAACTTCAAGCATACCTTGACTTGATCAACTCGACTGACATTTAAACATGTCAATGCTCTATTTGTTTTTTTTTTTCAAGCACACACAAAGTCTGAGAAGTCTGTGAAGGTACACTGTGTGGTGAATGTGAACTTGGCAGCCGTGCATATACGGCCCTGTTGTCACGGTAGCATATACCACTCCATGGGCATGTCTTACATTGTTGAAAAGTATGAGTTAAATATGTGGTACAAATACTCTTCAAATGATCGTGTAAATCATTATTGGTGGTATTTGGCTCTGTTGGTGGCCATATCTTACCTTTTTCAAGAGCTGAAATTTTTGGCCAAAATTATACCCACCTGCAAGTGGACAAGAGGAAAGGGGTGGAAGATTTGAGAAGTAAATTGCTATTCATGTTTTTCATTTCCACTGATTTGACTTTTTTCATAAACAGAAGATTCATTATCTGATTTGCCATACATGGTCTTGAAAGCCAAAGATTTGAGTCTTAAGATGGCAACACCTTGCGATAGAAAAATAAAATGGAAAGCTTAAGGTTTTAGTACTGAACAGGTCCAGTCTCCCTCGGGAAACTTCTAAGTGCCTTTGGTCTATGCATTTTGTATTCCAAAATGGTCCACCAATCAAAAATGGGCTTGTTTATGTGTCAGGCTTATTTAAAATAAATGCAAGCCCTTTGCCTTTTAGTCATTTTGGAGAAATATGGGTTAGAGAGTACATATTTGATCTTGTATGGCCTGTTCTATGCCACTCAAGGTCAATACACTTGAGCCAAACCAAGGGAATTTGTGCGCACAAAATAATTTTGAAGTCTAGAGTAGTATTCCATGTACTTTTTGTAATTTCTGTAATCAGTGCAATAGTCGGAGGATTTCAATTGAATAAAATATGTGGCCTGAGACATTAATAATATGTCCATGATTTGAACTGCACTTCTTTACCCCTTTTTTGCAACTTTAAGTTACTTGCATTTATGTAAGAAACCTGGAAGTTATTCCTTATGGATTACTCTCATTGAAAAATGCTCCAGAAATTTAAGAAGCCATTTAAGGAAAAAAGGATTTAATAAGGATTGACACTGAATTATGTTGTGGAAATATCAGTGATGTAGTCGAGTACCTTTTGAGAACTAAGTTCTCTACCAAATATTTAACTAGTTAGAAGGGAACAAAGCTAAAGTACATTGGCATTTGATGGTATATGCATAAAGGTAAGATTACATAGTAACATAATGACTTCAGACCATCACTGTTTGATTAAAATTAACTTTTTAGGACAAAAGTACTCGGAAAGTACTCGGTCGAGTACTTTCCGAGTACTTTTCTCCACAAAACTTAAATTTTACACAACTGGGAGTGTCTGAAGTCTAACATTTATTTTGTAATCTTACCTTTGTACATTTACCATCAAATGCCTGTGCACTCTGGCTTTATTCCCTCTTACCCAGTTTAGTATTTTGCAGAGAACGTTGATACTCGGAAAGTACTCGACTACAACACTGGGAAATATTTCATTTTCCAAAATGGTTCTTGAAACGGAATGGGGGAGGGCACTGCATTCATCAGCATTAAGCTAAAAAAAATAATGGTAGAAGGGCGTTAACGCTGAGGTATTTTCAGGCAGTTTAATTTGATTTACTCACTTTTCCCCGATGTAAAAACTGTGATATAGAAATAAAAAGAGATAGAGGGCTCTCTGATTTGGAAAAATGTTCAAACACTGGTCAGTGGCAAAACCAGGGATAACGCAAAACAGTTTCAAAACAGCGGTCCCAAATCCCATTTGCGATTTTCACCCCCTTTTTTTTTCTTTCCCCTGGAGGAAATGGGGAACACCCCTCTCTCTTGTAACACGTGCACATGCACGAGCTTGAGAGCGCGCCTCTTGTACTACTTGACTTTCAAGTCACTGCTCTGTGTACATGTACGTTGTGTGTATTGACTTGGACCATATAGGCCTGGAGGAGAAAATGCTTGGACGTTTTTGAAATTCAAGTAGTCTAGTGGGTCCACTGGTCTATTCCGATTGAGGGCGCTGTGCATAGTTATGTCCCGCGATGATCGTGCAGAGTTCGAAGTCTTACTTTTTGCGTTTTGTAAAAACTTCACGATTTTCACCACAAAAAGGACTTCATTGGTGAAGTGTTGGACAGCCTATGGTACCATTTTTCCACATAAACAACTCAAAAGATGGTCAATTGATACAGGTAAGTTAAAAACCACTTTTTGTTTTCAGGACTCGCTAACGTTTTGACATAGCATGATGCACTTTGCCTAGTCGCTAGTCGGTGCTGAGGCCCATCATACATGCCTACTGTTTACTGCGCACCGCAGTAAGGCACATAAACCATTGAGCAAACAATGTGTGGTGTCAGTCATTTGTAAAAGTGTAGGACTAACGTTACGTACCTAGCCCAGTGGATGTCGTCTACAAATTACAATACAGTGGAAATGTACTTCCAGTAGGTATGACATGATGTATGATACCCAAAAATTGAAAATGTATAAAATCATATAAAGTTTGAAACCAGAGAAATTCAGTGGTACAAACGGTAAGGTCATACAACGTTTCTATTGGAAATTACAACCCTTTGAAGTTTCAAAGTCATCAGAGCCTTCTGCTGGGCATTTTGCTGTGACAGGCAGACCCAAGTACACATGCATTGTTTAAAATGTGGTTTACAAATTGTACACTAAAAATACATGTACTTACTACAACTGCTTTACTACTATTTCTACTGGAAAGAATAGCAAGCCTCCATGTACATGTATGACAATACAGGCCATTTGATGTTGTAGGGACTGTTCTCCAAAAATCTCGCTCACATCAAAAAGTAATAGGCATAATGATTTTAGAGGGTTTTCTGCAGAAAAAAGTGAAAATAAGTGCAGAAGCTGTGAAAAAATGATGTGGAAATTCGTGCCCCTGTACATTTTCAATGGGCTGTTCAAGCTTGTTGCTTCCACTTGCCTTTTATATGCATGCATACATAAATAAGAATTTATTTGTGAACTGGTCTATTAAGACAGAGTATAACTGAAATAGTACATGTATATTACAGTCAGTGCCCAATATGATTCTGTTGATACAACAGTTAAGTTTTCTATTTTACAGCGATGTTATCTACTCATTTGTTGTTAAAAGTAACACCAAGGAATTTGTTCGATTGCAGGATTTGGATTCAGTGGTTTTGGATAAACTTAAAGAGAGAGTTATTGGTCTTCTTTGTGAAAATGACTACAATTGTGTTTGGATGAGATCATGAGATGTAGCTTGAAACCCCATATTTCGCACAAGGAGCGAATATTGTTGAGGCGTTTTGGATTTTCCTCTCAAGGAAAGGGATGTTTCTGTTGGACTTCTAAATTGCTACCGGTATGTATGTACATGTATCTTACCGGTATTTGCATATTGAGAAACTCTGACATCAAGGAGGTTGTGAGAGTAATCAACATTGAAGAGTAGTGGGCTGATAATGTTGCCCGATTTTCTGGGATTCTTTCAGTGGAAAGGGTGTTGGT